AACAAAAAACGCAGCAGCTCGGCAACACCATCTTGCATCATCTCGCAATGCCTCTGCAACCAAATTTCCACGGCAGCGGACGACGCGAATGACGCGGTCGCATGCACCATTCGCACAGACATTCCCGTCAGCAAATGAAACAGAGACCACAAAACGTCCACAAACGTCACGGGTGCGTGACTTCAACCAAACATGTTGCATTCAGAAAATTCCGAGACATGCATATCTGTTCGCTTGAGTTCAAAACAATGCCATGACATGCTTGAGAACAAAACAAAATTGAACGGTACAAAATTGAACAGTACAATGATTCCCGTAGTATTTTTTTGTCCACTGCTCATGCATTTCAATGCAAAGATCACATTTTTTTTTTGTGCCATAAATCACATAGATCCACTGCATCGTCAACAAACACTGACATTGTCACAATGTAATTCTCGAGATCTCACAAACACTTTTACACACAAAAGCTTTTATACACAGAAGCTTTTACACACAGAGGCTTTTACACACAGAAGCTTTTACACACAGGCGCTTTTACACACAGACACTTTTACACACAGACGCTTTTACACACAGAGGCTTTTACACACAGACCCTTTTACACACAGACCCTTTTACACACAGACACTTTTACACACAACACTTTCACACACAGACGCTTTTACACACAGACGCTTTTACACACAGAGGCTTTTACACACAGAAGCTTTTACACACAGACGCTTTTACACACAGACGCTTTTACACACAGACTCCTTTACACACAGACGCTTTTACACACAAACGCTTTTACACACAGACGCTTTTACACACAGGCGCTTTTACACACAGAAGCTTTTACACACAGACGCTTTTACACACAGACCCTTTTACACACAGACACTTTTACACACAACATTTTCACACACAGAGGCTTTTACACAGGCGCTTTTACACACAGACGCTTTTACACACAGACGATTTTACACACAGACGATTTTACACACAGACGCTTTTACACACAGACGCTTTTACACACAGACCCTTTTACACACAGACGCTTTTACACACAACCGCTTTTACACACGACACTTTTACACACAGACACTTTTACACACAGACGCTTTTACACACAGACACTTTTACACACAGACACTTTTACACACAAACGCTTTTACACACAGACGCTTGGACACACAGACGCTTTTACACACAGAGGCTTTTACACACAGACGCTTTTACACACAGAGACTTTTACACACACAGACGCTTTTACACACAGACGCTTTTACACACAGACGCTTTTACACACAGACGATTTTACACACAGACGCTTTTACACACAGACGCTTTTACACACAGACACTTTTACACACAGACGCTTTTACACACAACCGCTTTTACACACGGCACTTTTACACACAGACACTTTTACACACAGACGCTTTTACACACAGACACTTTTACACAGACGAAAGCGTTACGATTGACCAAGTAAAATCGCAATTT